TTTAAGGCATTCTGAAGTGAGGTTTTTTTTTTACCCTGTAGAAGTCTTAGGAGTCCATTAACAGCTCATGTAAACAACAAATACACTCCCTCATGCACTATCACTGTCAACACCACGGCAGAGACAGAGTGTGTAAAACAAAAATGGAAATGGGACCCGCACAAAAGTCTGCAATTATATACGAGCATTTTGTCATTATCAGGATGACACATAATTGCTGTATAATGGTTTAATTTTATTGCAACGACAACATTGGATGTGGTGAACAAATATTTTCCACAATCCTCCCACTTTCTGTCATCAAGATATTGACACCATAAATATAAATTTACGGCATCTCAGCACTTTATATCACAAGGTTCTTCAGTCTTTGAAAGACCATGTTACAATTTTTAAGTACATTCCTGCTCTAAATGGCCGAGTTACTTCCTCAGCACGCCACTAAGTTCTGCAGAGGTCTGGTAATGAAGCATCCAACACGTGTAATAGTGGCAAGACAGTAGCGCTCCAAGACTGGAGTTGGTGACACCAAATGTATCAAGTATAAGTATGAAGGCTATAATAACAACAATAACGTCTACTTAACCAGATACAAAAACCTCATTGAGATCTAAAATCTCTTATTTTCAAGATAGCAACACAGTTTACAAATATCAACCCTCACAAAAGTCCATTTATCAGGAAAGATACACTATCGGCATTCTGAGAGTGAATGCCAGTAGGTCACATATGAAAGCCAACCAAATATTCCACCAAAGCTTCCTGCGATTCGTCACAGTAGGATGCAACAGTTTACGCTGACAACAATGTGAAAGGAATGTGTCGAGCATCTTTCTTAAGAAAGGGCGGTGATTATTACATTACTCATAGCAATAAACTAACATGCAATTAAGAATAAATTTGAAAGAACCAGCTCGTTTTCAGCAGCAGCTGGTGGTTATGAGCTCATGTTTCAGAGCTCATAGGGAGTGCTTTGGACAACTACGCATGTATCGATGTTCGTGTTATCAAGGGCTCCTCTCAACTTCAGGTGACCCGTGGTTAGAACAAACAGCACGAAAAAGAAAACATGGCACACAAACTACATAAATGTCTCTCTGCTAAGCTCTGTTTCCTGACATTGAGAAATGTTGCCAAACAGACCTGCTCTGTGTTAATAAGCCGATTGCATCAGCGGAGAATGTTTGAATCTGTGTGTGCACGGTGATGCAAATTACAGACGGAGACTGGTCGGAGATAAAAGGAACATAAACAAAAAGGAGAAAATCTCGTCTGCCCTTCGTGTCCATTCAGTGTCTCTGATGTGTTTCGTTCAGCTGCGCTCACTGAGGCCTCTCAAAAAATGCATGGCAACAAGCCTTTTGTTTTCCCCTTACACGCTCAAATTTGGCTAGCTTGTCTTGCCAGACGAAACATAACTGCCACCATTACTCATAGGGAAACAGTCTTTACAGGAAGAAAGCACAAGTAAAAAAATAAATAAATAAAAAAAAAGGAGATAAGGGAAGATGGTTGATAGATTTTAAAATTCACCAAATCACGTGATAAAAGGGGTCAAAATATCCTTTTTTTCAAACTCCTCCACTCATTTCTTGATGAAGTACAAGACTTTTTGGCCATGGCACTAATCAAAAATGAAAGTGAGGTGCTTTGGAAATATTGTTCAGCTGTTTTAATAGCAACCTGCTTATTAGCTCCAGTAACCGGACCTGTACTTCAAAAAGGAAGAAGTGATGTTATATATAAACAACTGAAGGAAACTGTGAGGTACTGAGATGTTGTGCCTGTGCAAAATGAGACCAAAATGCTACTTTTGGGTCAACTTACAACAGCCTACATTTTCCCAACCGTTCCTAAAACGTGGGGATTTTTTTTAGCTCAGGTCATGAACTGTAACACAAGAAATTCAGCAGCTTCTAGTTTCTCCTCAAAAGTATAAATCCAATTCTTCATCCATGTAATTTTGAAGCGGCATGACACAGTTCGCTGCGATTGATCTCTTCAGAAAAACAAGACCAAACAGATAAAAAAAGTGGAAGAATCAACATGGTCCCTCACTGCTATCTACGCAATCTACAACGCTTCAGTGAGTGAGCAGAACAGCAGCGGAGCAATTACAAGCCAATACATGTAAAATGCTGGAATACTGAGTCAAATGTGCTGTATTGAAACGTAGCTGCTGCTCCTCTAAAGTCATTTGAATCTGACTAATAGATCCTCTTCTTTCTTTCCGTTACATTTGCTGTAAAAGCGTACATGTTTTAGAGCTTTTTGCAGCAGCATTCTCTCTGGTTGTGGGTGAAAAGTTGCACATTTTTGATATCACACAAATACCGAGCCACTGGTCTTTGAATACACAAGGTTTGGCTGTGTGCATGTTTACAATAAGTTGGTGACAATGTCCAATCATAACACCCGGTCAGTCTGTGTTTAATCTGACCTTCAGGTTACGTGTTTGGATTCCAGTCCAGGTCGTGTGAACGCTCTCTGCAGACACAGAGGAGACTGTGAGCCCTGCTGTGTGTCAGAGTACTGCTGACAGCATGTGAAGCGTCCACAGATCATGTGCCTTTAGTTGGCAAACTAGCTGGAACCTTATTTAGCGTCTTAGAATTGGCTGAGAGAGCCACCGCTTCAGCTGTGCAGCCCAATAAGTGCAAATAACAAACAAATCATCAACTGACAAAGTTAATCATTTTCAAGGGTAGGTTGTAAATCAACCATACCAAATATGCATAGCTTTGAGGTTGTCTTTATTGTAAGACAACCTCAAAAAGTGCAATGGATATTCTGACAAAGAGATTTACTTTAAATTTAACATTAAAAAAAGAGAAGTTACAACATAATCCTCCATTTATGCCTCAAAAAATGCAATCACAATACCTTTGGTGAATATTGCCATAGCACTACTTGCAAAGGACATAGTCCTTTCAGGTTGCTTTTGTTTTTGATTGGCTTGCAAATTTAGATTTGAATAAATATCCACCTTTGCTCGTTTTCATTTGCATAGTAAAGACAGATTTAGGTCAGATTTGTGCCATGATCGTTTCATGTAACTGTGTTGAGCCAACATAGTTAAAATGTCATAATATGTCCAGAACTTTTCCTGAAACCCCTGACAAGTTGCTCACTTATAATCTCGGTGAAATCGTCAGGATGTCTTCAAAGAGGGTTACGCATTACACGGAAACCATTCTTGGAGTAACACTTTTTACTGGACATCAACGTGATTTCCCTGGTCAAAGACACAGAGTAACATCCTGATTAGAGGTTTGCCGATGAGTTCCTGTTTCCGAAACTTTGCATCAAAGTATTCGTCCTTTGGCTCAACAACAGAAAACTTTCACATTTACTTTCACAATCGAAAAAATAAATAAATAAGGAAATGCTTCTTACTGCTTTGAGGCGTAAAAGTTCCCAGAAGAGAGAAAGTAGCTCCGTTTTATCTTCAGCGGCGGGGATTCTGCCCAGTGAGGCGAGATGCTCGAGTCTGAACTGACTGGAACTAAAGTATCACCACGAATATTAAACAATGGATGCAAGTTCTAACCCTATGTATCGTTCTAAGTAAGAACGACTCATATTCTACACACCTAGCAGCTTGTTTTCAGTTTTTTATATGTATATTTATATTTATATCAATGACTTGTTTGGCAGAGGTAAGGAGCCGCTTGTTGAACACGCTGTTCAGAGCCGTGTCAACCCCAAGCAACGAAGAGTTAGTTCCTGTTTAAGAATTTTCAAAATAAACTGCATCCTAAAACATCCAACTTTAATTTTGTTTTCTGATCTAATTTGAAAGACAGTTTATCTTGATTTAACAGTGACACAGACAGACAGACAACGTGGTTGGCATATAAACTTTGCCTTTGAGCCAGTTAAAGATGGGCGTCATAAGAGCAGCGTTTAAAGATTTTTGCGTATTTTTGCAGTCTGACAGTTTTGTCTAAAACAGACTTTTAGAAACAATCTGAATGCCAAATTGTTTTCTTTTATTTTAATTACTGCTACTGTTTCTTCAAATATAAAAACTCCTGCTGCAATAGGACATGCAATGTTGTTGTTTTTTGAGATAAGCTAACTTTTGTTTGTCCAAAAAACAAAACAAAACAACAAACAAAACAAACCAAAGGCTTGTAACTATAGGAATATTTCAACCAGAATCTGTAACCAGGTTATATTACCTTATTATATTAAAGAGCCAATGTATTTTATTTCTGATTTCGACCTGTGAGAGTTAGGCCTTGATGTGACCTTTGTATATGGTAGACAGATATAAGTACTTTGAAAATCACTATTGATTTATTTAATTCTATTTAATGAAATATGCCATTCTTCAATTAGATAAATCAGACAACTTTTTTGGCTTCACAGAGGCAAAACACAGTGGCTGCTTTTATTTTGTTGAATAAAATATACCTACAGGAAGGTGTTCTATCTAGTGCCATTGTGTTGCCTTATTTGAATTCTGGAGCGGATCAGGAAGAAGTCTGGTGCCCCCTGGTGCAGGTTGGTAACTACCTTGAGCAAACTTGCTATCACTATAAGCACACAGTGTTTGTTTCCCTACTAAAGCATGACTTCCTCATGTGCCTTCATGCGTGTATAAATATACTCACGCGCTGATTGTTAACTAAAATAATCGCCGCAGTTTTACGATACATGTCACTAAACCCAAAGAAAAAAAAGAAAAAAATCAACAACAACAACAAAACAAACAATAACAAAACAATTGTGGAAAAATAAAACCCCTAACATTTTCCATTTTTTTATTCTTCCCCTTGCTTCGTCTGTTGTCTCCAGTCTGGCATCCTAGCAACGCAGGAATATTCCAGTCACGCAGGGGGTGTGGAACAAAATCATGCAAGTGTTTTTAATGAAACAGACGTTTATCCTCAATATCGTGCCAAACCAAAACGTCCAGCCCACGCAAACACGCTTCTGAATACACGTTTCATAACCACAGCAAGCAAAGTGAACCCTAATATTTTGATAAATAATTACAAACCTCCCTCTTGCAGCCGGAAATTCGTGGTCCATCAGGCTTCCGCTGACAAACAGCGGGGTTGTTGAAGAGGTAAGTTTGAAGGCAGTTGAAAATAATAGACTGCTCCACGACCATAGTCTGAAATAATATAGTCACCATTAAATTAGCAAAGGGCTAATGCTAATATATTAGGGTTTTTTTTAGTGTTTGTCAGGGTTTTTGTCGAGTTCGGTTACCTGCGAATTCGGTGTCATAGAAGCTCACCGTTGGTGTTTCACGCAAACCGTTAACGCCTGACAAGAAAACGTCACATAATATCCACGTCAGCTGTTTTAGTCAACTAAAAGGACACAGTTTTAGTTTTACTGATATATGTGTCAGCAGGTGTTGCTACTGACTGTGTGGAGAAATTCCACAATTGACTCAAACCTCTGCATCCTGTTGTTTTTATATTTGTTTGTCAAATAATAATATCAGTTCATACAAATTTAACGTTAAAAGCTGAAAACTGATTGGATTTCATGCCAGTAAGGAGTGTTTGTAAACTTTTAACCACTCAGAGAACTGGTAGACCAGATGTAAATAGTTTTCTGCTAATCTCTCAATTTTTAAGCTGAGAGATTAGAAAGTACTTTGTTTTGTTTTTTGTTTTTTTCCAGAGGAAATGGAGAACTTCATCCTTTATGAGGAGCTTGACAACGATGGCAGCTTTGTCGTCTATAAAGGGAGACGAAAGAGCAATCTCTGCTACGTTGCCATCATCTGCACAGACAAAACCAAGAGACCCGAGATCACAAACCATGTATTTTAACTATGCCTAGTCATTCCATTTGTAATTATTTTTCTAATGCTAATTTTATGGACAATTTAAATGACATAAAGTAATGCGTTAGTCAAGTATAAATCCCTAAAAAAATATATTAATGCGCAAAAATGTTTAAGGTTCTGTTGGTGCAAGGTGTATTTCTCTCCTTTAAGGTACGACTGAGCCAGGATCTGAATCATCCAAATATTATGCGCTTTTATGAATGGTTTGAGACAAGTAAACACCTCTGGGTGATAGTGGAGCTCTGTACAGGTCTGTAGTTTCTCATTTCTTCCCAAATAAATATGGGACTTTTTAAATATTGGAGATGAAATGGAACGAAAGTACTTACCTTTCTGTTATACTTACTTACTAATGTCTATGCTTTTACCTTCGAGGCGGTTCCCTGGAGTCTGTTGTCGCTCATGATGGAAACCTGACAGAAGACATTGTGAGAAGGTTTGGATGGGACTTAATCAAAGGATTAAGATACATCCATGAATTGGGAATCATCCTGTCAGACTTCACCCCAGCAAAGGTTAGCATGTGCACTTATTTCCATCCAAAACCAACATTATAACGTGATACGTATTTAAACTGATAATAAATGTTTCTTGACTTTTTTTTCTTCTTTAGGTTCTTCTAGATGGTAGCGGCATTTTGAAGTTTAGTAACTTCTGTCTGGCCAAGGCGGAAGGAGAGACTCTGGAGGACATTTTTACAACGCTTTCTGCATCTGAGGACCCAGAGGAAGGAGACGACAAGGACATAAGAGCAAGAGTGCAAGGTCAGAATTTAACATTGATGTATGATTAATGAAGGACATGGGCTAATATAGACTTTTTACAAAAATTTTAGATCAAGTTGGACTGTACAAAGTATGCAGGAAAAAAAATATTTAATTCCTGCAAAACAATAGTATTTACCATTACTGTGCGACATTCTCAAATCACCTCATTTTTATGTTTTGTGACAAAATACATAGGTGCTTTTGACAATGATGACCTCTTGTAGATATTTTTTGTAAAGCTGAAAGATGCCATATTTAGAGCAGGTGATCTCTTTTCGTAACAAGATTTACTTTTTAATTTTTTTTAATGTATCACCAGACTTACTGACACTGTAAGACAATTGTAACTTTATGAATGATCATTGCTTAATGATTCATGCAAATAATTATCATGCAACTATTTGGCATCATAATAATAAGTAAAGTGTTTGTCCAGATTTTTTAGGTTAAAAAGTGCATGTTCAAGCTTATCCAGTGAAGTAACTTGAGGAGGAAAAAAAAGCCAGAAGTCGTGCTTGCATAAGAGTGATGTAACTTGAAAATAATATTACTCAAGTAGAAGTAAAAGTTTGTTGAATAGAATCTACGCTTATAGGTAATATTTTTTTGTTCAGAAGGTTACTGTAAATGTAATTGAGTAAATGCAACTATGAACTGTAGTTGTATGAAACTGTAAGGATGACAAAAATTGCAGAGAATTAATTTTGGGGAATGCGATACTTAACTAGCTTCACATTGCTCTTATTGAGCAGGAAGAAGAACAAAAATTGTGGAAAACATTACATTTTGCATGTTCTCACTTCTGAGGACATGTTATACTGTGGATTTTGCATTCAGCAAGCAACACTATATCAGTTCTTTTTCGAACTGTATCTGCATGATTCTGTTGCATGTTTCTAGGTTCTTCAACCTACAGTGCTCCAGAGGTTTTGCAGGGATCAGAAACCAGTAGGAGATCTGATCTCTGGGCTCTCGGCTGTGTGCTCTACTATATGTACACTGGTACCCACTCACACACGTTTACAAAATAACACATTCACATATTGAAAAGTAAAAATTAATGAATATGAGATATGTATGATACATTTTCTCTTCTGGTGGTTTGCTTTGTCTTGAAACTGAACTGAATATTTGATTTTAATATTTTCCAAAAGGAATGGGAACATTTTCGCACTTTATGAACTTATATTTTATTTACAGTGGAATACTGTGAACTTATAACATTTTTAAATTAAAAAATTGTACCATTTTCAGAACAGCTGAGGTGATTCAGAAACTAACAGCTGAAGAAATCCTAAAATAGTAAGGGCAGGGGAACCTCGACTTCCAGATGGAGCAGTACGTCTACAAGAGGAAATGTGATGGTATTTATATCATTAACCTGCAGAAGGTTAATGATTGTACCACATAGTTTATAAGTGGTACAAATTACTAACAGGTGGATGAGCATTTCGGCAACTAATTAGGTTGATTGGGAGCAGGTTAGCATGAGGTTTGGCTGTAAAATTAGCAACTTAGGCTAAATTCTTCACATGTGAGATGAGGAAAGGTTCACAAGTCTATAAAAATATCTGAATAATATTCCCAGAAGTCAATTTGGGACAAATGTGAGCATTGGTCTTAAACTGGCACTGCCTAAGAAAACACCCAGTCTTTATTCTGTTACAAACATCACTGCTTGAAATCAGGGACTTTGTGAGATGTGCTGCTACCATAAGTTTCAGAAGTACCTTTTATTTTCTTAAAATTTTGCAATTTCTTAAATTATATGATTACTAAAACATGTTACTTTGAAATAATATTTGGTTTTACAGGATTTGCAACCTTTGCACTTGTATTTTTTATATGTCTTACATAATCCTTTTTGGATTTGGGGTTTGTTACTGACTACTTGTTTTCCAGGTAAACCTCCTTTCTGTTCTGATAACCACACTGAACTGACAGAGATGATTTTGCATCAGGAACCGCCACCTCTAAGACAGAAAGGTAATAAATATGCTGTGCATCAAATGCAAGCTAGCACATGAACCTACAGTTAAGCTTCAAAGTTAAGGCTAATGTCAATTCTGCCCCTTTGTATGATATAGAAATGCTTTATTCAACCAAGAAATTTATTTCTGACATGAATTGGGAAAGATGTACAATTATTTAAAGTGGCTATCTATTTTGGAAATAACAAGATTTTTATTTTATTTTTCATTTACATTTCAACAAATATAAAGACAGGTCACAAAGTGCTCTCAATATTGAAAGGGTACATTTTTATTTCCATCACACCAGTCATATCCTTAAAGTTGCTTTTTTGTTGTTGATTTATTTTTTGGGGGGAACTCTTTCTGATTGGAAGGCCTCCATGCTGTCACCATAAGCTTTAGCTCCTTCCAGCAGATTTGAATCTGGACTCTAACTGGGCCTCTCAAAATTCTTACTTTCAGTCAGAAGATGCATGTTAGTAAAATTAAAAATATTACTTTGAACCTAAATCTGCGGGAGGTAGGACTAATCTTGGGCCTAACTGTATATAAAATATTACATTAACTTATTTAATCTCTTCCAGTGTTTCTCCCAAATCGTCCCAGTCAGGAATTCCAGAGCCTCCTGAAAGGTTTATTAAATAAAAACCCAACCAAGAGGTCAGACCCATTGATTTCCAGTTGAAGTTATGGTTTTGAAATATGAATTATATGTATTTATATAGGTTAGTAAACAGATGGTTTGTTTGGGATTTTTTCACACAGCAGACAAGCGCTCATTTCTTAAAATTATTTCAACTTTTTTATGTCAACGTACATCTTTTTTCGTCACAGATCAAGATATTTTGTCGTTCAGAAAATTATGGCTCTAATTTTGTATTTAAATGTCCAATTGTTTAGTGGATTCTGACTGTGGCTACTTCTGTTGAACTCATTTTGGTTTGTCAGTGTTGAGTTGTGTGAACTATTTTTCTTCATCAGATTCAGCTGGTCGGAGCTGGTGGGTCATCCTTTCTGGACTCAAGTAAAAATGGAAGAAGATTATGCAAAATATGAGAAAGCTGAAGATGTCAATGGGTACGAAAAACAATTCTGTGATGAACTTGACTCCATTATCATGGGATGTGTAAATATATATATTGTAACAATTGTCTAACATTTCCTTTTTGTTTGCAACATTTTTGTAAAAATTGTGATGCTGTCATTTTTTTGAGAGGCTTTGATTAAATTATTTGATGCATTTTTATTCTTTTACAGATGCAAAAGGACACCCAGCCCTTTTCCTGGAGGAAACTCAGTCAGACAACCCAGTAGCCACTCAGCAATTAGCCAGACAAAGGGCCTATCAAAATCTTCTCATATGACAAATGTAGCCGACAGGCCGTATGACACAGAAGAACAATCTGTTACACCTGTGTCTGGTGGAAGGTTAAATTACAAAAACTCAAATAAGGAGGTGAGATGTGGAAAAGCAATGGCGGACCAAGTTGAGACGAGAGATCTGTCTCAACCGAAGCAGGGAGATCCACAGCCCACAAAACCATATATGACAGGTAATGGATTTTGTTCAGTTTTAACAGTTTAATGACGTGGCCGTTCCTTACTTGGACACAAGAAGCTTTGTTCTCTTCAAATGCAATATACAAATTTAGCATAATATCATTATGCTAAATTTAGAAGTGACTAAAACTAAGCAGTTTCAGTCATTTCTAAATCAAGGTGGTATTTCTGAAAAAAAAGAAGCTAAAATTAGGTTATATGCAATTTTTTCTTTAACTCTGAACTTTTTTTGACTCATTTTTTTGCATTTTAGTCAAGTTAGATTTGTGATAACATACAAATTTGCCCTTTTTCCAGGTAATGTTCGAGAGCTGAAACCAAAGAACGGGGTGGATCAAGACAACACTGATACAATCTTTCTACTTAGGTATTTTTATTTAAAGCATGTATAGAAATATTTTTTAAAAGTATTCTATAGTTAAACTTCATCAAAACTATTTGGGGACGTTGATCTGTAAGTAATTGGATTAATTAATTTATTAAAGCTCAGCTGTCGCCCGTGTGTTGCCTCAGTGGAGTTTTAATATCTATGAACAGTTCAGCTCTAAAAAGTTAAATTCTTATTTGTCCATTGTTGCTCATTGTTTGTTCTGGTTTTTTATAGCAACTCAAGAAACTTATGCAGACTCTCAGACCTATCACACCAGAACTCTGAGCTTGAGGTAAACGGTACAGCATGATAGATTCACTGTTAACTTTACTAGGGCCATCTTTTAAACCGCTTCTTTACACAAATGGCAAATTATCAGTTATGTGGCGTCATTTTAATACAGTTAGGTATGCAAATGTAGTGGAGATGATTTAACAAAATGCTAATCAGGCATCAGAATGGGAAGAAAAAGACAAATCAGACATTTGTCATAATATGAACCAAATGTCTGAATGTTTCTGAACACCTTGCTGATTCTGTACAATAAAGAGTCAAGCAAGTTCTGTAGATGTAAGGGGGTCAACACAGTGTTTTCTGTTTCAGATTGTCACTGACACTGACATTGCAAGCTGTGTGAAACGCCTTCTACACACCGAGTTTGACCTGAGTGTTACCCGAATCATTGACAATCCAAAGGTATGGAGATGGAGATGCTGTATATAGGCTAAATACTTGAGGATCAAGTACTACTGTAATTAGCCTTTCCATTGTTTCTTCCGAAATTGAGTATTTCAATTGAAAAATGCTTTATATTAATCCCAGAGGGGAATTCACTGAACACAATTGAAGGTTTTCTTCTGAAATCGTTTTTGCTTTGTGAATGTGAATATTGATAGCACAGTTGCAATGAAAGGGTGAACAAAGCAACAAAAAGTAAGATGGTCACAAACTGAAGTTGATGGGGTTTTTTCCAATGATGACTTTAACAGATACTTAAGAGTACTCCTGTACGATTTGATCCCAAAACCCTCTGTGTACCAGCATATTCAGGTATGTTGTCTTAATCTGCATCAATAAAGTTGAATATGTAGTATAACATTATCTCAAAGTTAAATATTTTCTCTCTTGTGTAGTGGAGAAGCTGCTTTCACTGAGTGATGATGAGTGGACTGGTTTTCTGCTACAACTTCATTCATGCTTTGAAGAAAAGAAGCCAACCACGCCACTCCCCTCCTCTTCTGCTCTTCCTCAGTCTACAGCTGTTCGATCTAGACTCAACCTGCTGTGCTACCTCTGCTGTGTAGTTGGCCACACAGTTATTGCTGATAGGCTGATTAACTCAACACTGGTAGGAAAACATTTACTTCAGCTCCCTTTTTAGAATGTAGCTTGACTGGGTTTATTGACCATAACCGTGTAGTTTGAAATAATATTTGGCATCTCAACATGCAGTAGCATGACAGTGTTAGGAGCCTGGCTGTCACCAGTGCCATGTTTTGTATTCTATATTTTAGAATATCATCAGGAGAATTTCAGATCTTCAATTCTAAAAGGGGAAAGTCTTGTATCACAGATTTTTCAAACACAGGATATATTTCACACATTGAATTCTGTAAATTTAGCTAATTATAGCTCACAGATAATTAAAAACAAGAATTCAGTGTCTCAGAAAACTAGAGTGCTACAAAAACCATACAAAAAAATATTTTCACTTCTTGACTTTCTGCAGTGACTTTTCTTCTTGCAACAAAGGCCGGATTTTTTTTTAACGTTTTTACATAATTTAATCATCGTTTCTTAATTTATTTTTCTAAACCTGTTTGTTTTTCTTTTTCCTTATCACATCTGTACTCTTATGGTTTTTTTTTTTTTTTGCAGCTTTCTGTATTGACCCAGCAGTTACGGCAAGCTCCAAACTGGGATTTGTAAGTACATCCTATATGTGTTTTTTTTTTTTGTTTTTGTTTGTTTGTTTCCATGAAGAGAAAATATGATAGCTTGCAATGAAGCTATCTTTGCACAGTAAATTCAGAAGTTTCTGAATGGAAAGGCTCTGAATTAAAGCATGAGACAAGCCTAAGAGCCAGACAGGCATGGTTAATAAAAGTACAATAGGTGTTTTTCACTTGTGTGTCTTTTTATCGTACCATCTCTTCAGCTACAGCTTTGCTTTAGGCGTTGCCATTGGTTAGCCAGATTTATTATTAATTCAGAAATAATTAAGCTAACCACTTTCAAGGGGATTTAAGTGAATTAAATAAACCATTGTTCTGATTTTGATTGCAAGCTTATGATGTTCTGTTACTTTTAGGAAAGCCAATTTAAGAAGTTTGCCAACTTAAAATTTTAGCTGTTAATATGTAGTGGTTAATGTATAAAAACAATTGAGTTTTGTGTTACCATGTACTCTGTTCTGATATGCAAACACAAGATTAATCTAAAATTAATTAATCACGTTTTTATTTTTGAACAATATTTTACAGACGAAGCAAGATCCTCAGAACGATGGGTCTTCTGGCTTTGTACTGTAGTCATCTTGAAGAGGACTGCCACGTTTCTGAGGTTTGAAGGACATACAAACATGCTGTTGTATTGAGAGCATTTTCATAAATATTTTCAATACAACACTCAGCTGTTTTGTGGGAATAAAAATCAGCTGAGTGCAGAACTTAAACAAAATATATATATATAAAAAATCCTTTTTATGGAGTATTATTTCAGGCTTAATCTAACCTCATTCTTTAACAAGTTTACTTAAATATTAATGATTTTTATCAAGAGACTTCTTAGTAGTAGTCATAGACAGGTCGGTTACTACAAAGTGACCAGGTCATGTTTGGGTAATATGAATTAATTACATTCTCACATGCTCAAACATCTAACAGAAACATCAAATACACCAGGAAAATCACAAATGTAATACCAGCTTGGACCATTATGTGGCAGTAAATGCCATTGGGAAATGTGTTCATACTGTTCATGTAATATTGAAAATATCTAAAATTGTACTAAAATTCTCTTTCCTTTCTTTGGGCCAGCAGAAATCACAACTTTTAACACAGTTGAGAGAAGATTTACCCTGAATGAACATGCGAACAGCAACACTTGCTCATGCCATACTCACTTTTTAGATCCAGCTTGGACCAGCTGGGGGCATTCCAGCTCTTTGAGACAACTTTCTTCCACATGCAGAAAAAAATACCAAACTCCTCAACTTTCCATCTCCCTGTTTGTCTCTCATGCATATTTAAATATAAGTAGAAGACACAACTGGATTTTAAGTTAATGAAAAACCTTAATAATCTGCACTGTAGCTTGCACCAGGCCATATCTCTGACAAATGCATTTTATTTTGCTTTGTTGAGACTGTACCAATTTGAAACTGCTTGCTTCTATTTGAAAATAGCATTAGAAACAAAATAAAAGTGCATGTTCTGAAAATGCCTTTGGTGTGATTTTCACTAAAATCAAGCAAAATATGATGACATTTTTGATTTTTCTGTTGTAGCTTTTATGACTTTAGAAGTTCTGAAATGATTAGATAAGATATTTTGCACAGTGAACACACTCTTACTAAGATAATATTTATTAAATGTACGGCACATACAGTTTTAGCCATATGATAAAACACCCGTGTTTTATTGTGCATATCTCTACCCCAGGAGAGCCCTTCTCCAAACCACTGGAATCAAATGAACGACTCCTTCCCAAGGTGACGTGCTGATGAGGAAATTTGGAGCAGGGATGCATCTAAAAGTTGCAGGATATCAGCTCTCAAGGGTTGGTCTTGGGCACTCCTGGTGTAAATATATGACATGCTGTCAAGTCCTCTGCTCTGCTGGGGAATGGATGCAAGATCTCAGCCGGCTTTTGTGTATCCCTCTGGAACCCTTTGAGGCCGTTATAGATTGTTTGGGTGCACTATTCCACTGGTGAATACTACTGTGCTGTGACGCTGAAGCACCTTGAATGTTTTTACAGTCTCCAGTAATATTTAAATCTGTCTGAAAGAAGTACACAACTTGATTGCTCAGGGCAAAGGTTTTACAAAGAAACCTTGCGTTGATTTTAGATCATCAATGTTATTATCCTCATCTGCCAAGTGATGTTAATGTTGTGGCTAATGTTTGCTGGGGCGCTCTGTAATATGTAATGTGGTGTTTCTTATTTAGCTTTGAGCAACTCTTATTTTTGTAACCATCAGAAATGCAGATGAATTGCTGTTGAAAGACCACAATCTTATTACTGCTGAATGCTTTTGTGGTTAAATCAACAAGTTTCCAGAGTGGACTGAAACATCATCTGAGCATAATTATCATCACAAACAAAACGATATTCACAAGCTGCATAAGTTTTATTAAGTCAGTTTAGTCAGTTTATGTGGGTTCTCTAAAAACAAAAGGTTCATACAGAGCTAGCTAAGCAGAAAGCTCATTTTGTGTGACCATTAGTCCAAATGATCTTTATAATTCTAAACCAGTTTCCCCTCCTCTTTGTGGTCTTTTTTTGTTTCCATATATAATGTATGTCTGCGTGATTCCTGATGTCCTCATTATGGCATTCATGCTGCTGCTGCTTATTTGTCTTTGGGATTTAGAAAAGGGCCAGCCTTGGTATATATATGTTCAATGCCCTTGGTGTTTAGGACAAATGGTTTTTGGTTTTTGTCTCCGTTACCCGCTTTACCTTCTTACAGCTACTGTGGATAAAACTGAGCTCTGTGCCTGCCTATCTTCCTCTGTCTGTTCGTGACTATGGCCTGCCTGACCATCTCTGGGCTCAGCAGGGGTCCTGTGTGTGTGAGTGTCTTTTATGTGTGTGCACAAGCTGTTTTGAACACTGCCTGTGCGAGCTCTCAGCAGGGGTTTTGTCTATGTAGTTCTGCCTGTCCTTATTGGTGTGTTTGTGCCTGCAGATACTGTATTGTTGTGTTTCCTTATATTGCAGGGAACAGATGACCAATCAAACAGAACACACACTTGCATTTTTCTCTTTGAGTGTGTCGTCTCAGCAGGGGTTCTCCTGCTGCAATCCTGCTGATTGGTGTGTTGGGGCTGGGCTTAGTTACCATAGTAACTTCAATTTACTTTATTCAAGCCCTCTATTTCCACCTACACACACACACACACACACACACACACACAAGTATATACTTTAAACACATATACAAACAAAGTACACCTGTCTTTTTTCACTGTCCCCTTTCTGTCTTGTTCTTGTTGTGCTGGCAGTGTTGTTGTTTTTTTCTTTTCTTAAAAATGATAAAATTGCTTTGGAAAAAAAATACTGACAAGTATTCAGCTGCTAATGTCATGCTGTCTTTAAAACCTCACACATTTCCTCCTCACTAAACATCACTCAAAAATTTCTCCCTTTTTTTTTTTAGCCCACCTGCAGATTAAGAAGTACATCCTTTACTGCGCAGGGTGTTTTACACGATAATGAGACTAAATGCTCTGAAAAATCTCCCAGCAATCCTTGAGGACACAGACTCAGAGGGTACTCGCTGCACAAAAACACAAAAAGTCGTAGTAATACCCTATCAAGAAAAGGGCAACAGTTTAAACACATAAAAAAAAAATTTCAATTACAGTAGCACTAATGGGTTTGGTATTTCATAATGTAGAACATTTGTTTTTCACTTTGCATCAGATATTACCACATACAGTCATGCATGAAATATAAAAGTAGGTCTCATGTTACCAGTAGAGCTCTTGTCAAGACATTCTCAGAATCTGAGCTAATCTATGTGTATCATCTTTTTGATGGATACCGTGCTTTATGGAGATTTTAACCAGGCAGTACCTGCTTGTTTTTCCATTTGATATGCTTTATGTTTTATCTACCAAAAAACCTTTTAAAATAAGGCTCTGATGTGCAAGCATCATTATTAGGTTATCAGAGTACAAAAAAATGGCATGAAAATGTTGCAAATTAGGCACATTGGTGGAGAGCTGGGCACTTGAAGATAAGGTTGACTGCACTGCAGCTTTGTTAACCAATCTCTTGGTTCACCTCAATAACATGTTGTTCCTGGAAGTGATGCTGCAGTTTTCTCTTTAAAAGACAAATAATTTACTAGTCTGAACCTCTCATTCTGTGTTGGCAAAACCTCTCATTCTGTGTTGGCAAATCTTTAAATACATAAAACAACTACTTATAAAAGTTGTGTGGACAGAAAAAAAAGACTATAATGAGAAATCTGCTTACAAGAAGGGCAAAGGGTGAAATGGGACTCAGCCTTAGTCAAGGGTGGGCGAACAGCAGAAACTGGTGGAGAAACTGGCACAGATCTGGCAAATTCAAACAAATAGAGAAGGAAAGATGAATGTTAAGTTGAGAGGAGGGCAGTTTGACAAAGGGGTCAGGCAGGTCTTGCATCAGACCACAGAATCACCCATTAATGTTAATGTCAGGAAGCTACCACCTGTCTCACCATATACTTAAATATCAGGTTGTTAAGATAAGATGCTAGAAATTGTTTTGAGTGATCCAGTCACAAGTCGTTGTGTTAAAAATTGATTTATGTTTCTTAACACACTTTTAGTACCTCGGCTCACATTCAGAGGTGGTCTGGAACACCTGTGCCCACAATCTTTTTACAGTCTGAATACAGATTTGTCTCAAGCCTTGCTCAATCTGCTACATTTTCTCTCGTTTTTTTTTTTTTTTTTGCATTGGACTTGTCTTATTGGTCCTTCTCACCTTTGTAAAGAACATTTTCTTAAAATTTTGGAGCTTGAAGACTGAGTTTTTGCCCGTTTCTTTAAAAGTCCACTATTATGCTTCCTCAATCAAGCTAGGATAGTTCTCTATACAAAACATGTTAATTACAATTAATGCAAAAAATCATTCTGAGGTATTGGGATTTCACCTGATCAATTCTTTCTGTTTTGAGCTCGTCTAAGAATATACTGTTTTAGAGCTATGTCATGATTATGCAAATAAGCTGCTGCTGACCAAGACCTCCAAACTTAGTGTTTACATTGGCACCTCAGACACGTAAAAACATCTACAAAAGAAGCAGACCCAGCAGTCGGTAGTGTCCAAGTAACCAACATGTTTTCATAAACTCTTCCATCTTCTCAATGGTAGACTATCACTTTCAGTTTACTACAGTTCTGACCGCAAATGCACATATATTGTGGGGAATGTTACATGAGACATAGCAGAGGCTGTTGGTCAGCATTAGCTTGTTCTAAATGACAAATCATGTTCATACCAAACAACACAAAACATACAAGACAGTGTTATGTACTTGCATCACCATCATCTACAGATTTGCGACAAACAGTAGTGACAAAACTTTCCTTCAGTCAAAGTATTTTGGCAAATCCTGCCCTGTGCTGTTGGTAGTTTTTAAAGTATTCCTTTCTAAACTAATTTGCATACACTTCACATTTCTTTGGGAATATTACGGACATTGCAATCAAAAATAAATTGAATCCACTTCGGTCTGTTCTCCTGGAGTGGGAGGAAATGCATGGACACACAATCTGTATTGTAGTCGACAACAAAACATTTTCATTTTCCAGAAGCCATTGCAGTGGTAATCCACCAGAACAAATTTAGCATTGTCTTATAATGCAGTGGTTGGATCGCCACTTGGGTTGCCAGGTGAGGGGTTGGGCTTACCTTGGGGGTTGCTAGGTAACAAAATTGTGACATAACAATTTAGAGGTTTTTGAAACAGGTTGTTTTGCAGACACCAGCAGAACATTCACATATTCCCAAAAACAGCTGAGTGTTTTGTTTTTTTGTCACTTGGATTGTTTGTAGAAGTAGGAGTTACCCAAACGAAAGTACAGAAACATGCAAAAAGTGAATTTTTCATAATATTGGAACTTTAAGACTAGTATCTGATGTAGAGACACGCTGAGAAAGTTAAATCGATCATTTTTGTTTGCAGGACTGACTTCTGAATCTCAATGTTTGTTGAATCGATTTAATCTGATTATTTTGTAAGTAGTAGAGATTGAATAATATAGATCAGGTCCATGTATGATTTACAGAACATCTGAGACGTTTAAACAAAATGAGTAACAAATATCTAAGCATATGTAGTTAATATGTCATGTTGGGAGGTTTCAAAAAGATATACAGTCTCCTTGTGATGGCATCACCAAGGTTACTTGATAATACTAGGTTGGAACATTGTTTTCCACTATGTGTGTGTCTGTGCAGTTGTTAGTGTGAGGAATGTTTTCTAAAGGTACTTGTATCTTAAAAAAATTCTGCACCTTTTGTAACGACTGTAATTTATCTTATTGTATTTATTGACTTATTATGATAGCACTGTATGCAAACATTTGTTTCTTGTTGCTGTCTTAGTTCAATCACTGTTTCTAGTCCTTCGTATATATCCAGACTTCCTTCATTCTTATTTTCAGAAGCATAAAAAGCCACTTCATAATACATAAATTATAAATGTGGTTGTCAGTTTGCATAGATTGGTTTGAGCTTTTTGCTGTATCATAACCTTGTGTATAATACAAACATTTTAAATAATTAACGCAAGGATCTGATTACTTTTTATTACTGCTGGTACTGCTACTATCTGCTGCTGCTCAGATAGTTACATATTATAGTCATCTTGAACATTTATTTATTTGTATTTCAATCCATAGTACTAAATCTGTATTGATGTTCCAGAGTGTATTGTGTATAATATTAGACCTTTTCTGCATTCTAGTCTGTTCAACGTTACAGAAGTATAACAAGCTGATAATATCTTAGCTTAATTAGTCAGTCTGTATGTTTGACAGGGGGACTAATTAACCTGTCAAACCAATTAGTGGCTAAAAATGCCATTTGTAGTCAAAGGCCTTTTTTCAGCCAGGTGACTGGCAGCACTCAACAGGTGGGGGAGGGGCATCACTGTTTTTCTATGTGGTGGTATTTCTAGTAGCTCCAGTGCTGTATTCCCCAGAACATCAATAAGTTCGCTTTAAACCATTGGAGCCAAATAGTGAAAATTTTGGAAATTTGTTTTATGTCCATATAATTGTCCATTCCAAAAGGCACCTTTAAAAAAAATAAAATAAAATAAATATTTGATAGACCCACTGGTAAATACTCATGGAGGAAAGTCTAGATTTTTGTGGTATTTTGTATTAAAATGAATTTCTGTTTATGTCTAAACCACATCTTCCTCTGTTTTTCAGGCTGTGTCAACTCTAGCAGACCTGCTGCGGGATAATCTCAGGAATAATAAACTGAAACAGTTCCTGCTGCCACCACTAGGGGAGTTTCTCTACATGATGTCTACTGAGGTATAACTTGCATGTCACCTCTTCCCATGACTCGCATGTTACTGCTGGTGAAAGAGAAATATTCATTTTAAGTGGTTGGATTTGACAAATTAAATGCATTTATTTGACAAATGCAACCATTGCAATTTTAATAGAAATGTTCCATTTTATTTAATGAAAAAAAATCACCATTAAATAACAATTTTTATTTAATGAATGGGACTTGTTGACTGTCACTCAATACATGGAAACATGCAAGGTGCAGATGTGAAAGAATACTGAGTCAATGTCCCAGACCCTAGAGGAGGGACACTACTGGGCCATATAAGCATTAAATTATGACTAAGAATATTATGTACTGGAGGAGTAAAGCTCCTCCAGTACATGATATATATATGTGTATATATAATTTCTGTTTATGTCTAAACATATATATATATATATATATATATATATATATATATATATATATATATATATATATATATATATATATATATATGGTAAATAAGCAGGAAAACCATTATTTATTTGAACATGTTTGTATATTGGTATATTGATATTTTAACATCATTTATGGCCAGTTACTGCAGTTCATTATGATTTTTGTTTCTTTCCACTTTGAAATTGTGCACGACCTTATTATACTGGTATCACAACAAATCTTCAAAGGTTAGGTTATAATGGTTCAAAAAATGAAAGACCAAAAAGTATTTTTTTAAAAAAAGTTTTTGAGATGGAAATGAAAATGGATTACTTTGAGTTAATACATTTAAATGAATCATTCACAGCATTCCCTGCATGTAAGACAGATCAAAATGCATTCTCATTACCTCAGAGAAAAAGACCAATCTAGAATAAAATGGATTTAACTGTGAACTCTATCATCAGGTAATAGAGTTTAATTTTGTATGCTGACTAAACTCAATTGAAAAGGAATTGACCCCTTGTCCTCAAACTTACACTCTTTCTCACAAGAAAGAGTGAAGAAGGTCTCCTTTATTAGGAAAGGTGATGCCAATTTATTTCTGCTTAACCTCCATCTCACCAGGCAAGTCAATTAAGTAACATTTCTATTTACATGACTGACTGATAACCTTCAAAAATCAATCAGCCTACTTGATTATAATGAATACTCTTCCAAAGCTGAAAAAAGAAATTGTAGAGGCTCCCTCACTTTTAACATCTTCTTTAGTAGAAGTTGTTTTGTTTTATTTCCTTTCAGTGTGTTGCTCTGATCAACTGTTCATCACCTTAACATGTTTCTAAATTTAGGTTCAGTCCCAAAAGAAAATAAATAGAAATCGGAGTACCCTTCATAATCCTTTCCATCACCATAGGGAGGGAGAATTAAATGTTGCTCACGTTTCAGGGTGATGGAGTACTTGGTTTGAATCTTCAACAACTTTCAGTGTATTGAAATAAATTAAACTTCAGCTCAGTAGTGATGGAGGAACCTTCTCAGTTTATCAAAGGAACTGAAAAGGTCGAACCATAAGATGGATTACTATGAAAAAAAGTATTTTCTCTCTTACATATTTTGTTGTATTTTTTTTTTTCTCAATTTCATTAACAAAACCCATGCCTGATTATTAGTCTTCAGGTACAATGCACATAATTTAATAATTAAGATTTATAAGTAAATCCTATATTATTAAATAAGTAATTTATAAAAAGTAGAAACACGTTTTCACTGCTTTCTGTCTGGAAAGGATTAAAAAGTGATGTCTAAGACTTTAGTATGTCATCAAACCAAAACGAGAACCATAATCTCCAACTGGGGAAAACATGCAGCAGTGGTGAGCCTTCCCAGGAGAGACTGGTCAAGCAAAATTACTCCAGGAACACAGGAACACCAGGAGGTCATGAAACAACCCTGAATGATATCTAAAGCTCTGCAGATCTCAGTTTGGTTCAGAGGTTAAGATTTAACAATAGAGGGAGGCTGGCCTCCATGGGAAGTTTCCGAGGTCGAATTTGCCTCAAGACTTTTGGAAAAATATTTAGATGCAAGATATTTGATGCAAGTGATAGCTCTGCAAGCCACAGGTGATTTTATGTTACATATGTTGCCTGGAAAACCAATGTTTAACTTATGTAGAATGTTCCTTTTAATATTAACCAAATAAAGTTGTGTGTTTTTCAGTTCTGCAGTTGTCAATGACAACAATTACCCAGCGCCCACAGGTCTGTCTTTTTCCTCAAGGTTAGATGTTGCCTAAAGCGAAGCACAGCAGCAAGGGAACAGAGCACCATTTCAAATAAGTTAGAAACCATATGATAAATGATAAGAAATCTGCGGGTTATGAGACAGTGTTTTTATAAAAGTGAAAAAAAAAAAGATTTATTTAGAAATACCTACATATACTTTTTATTTGCAATAAAATAAACAACTATCATAATCTATAAATTACTTCTAAATGGGTAATTGTGGCATTTTGGCTTGTAAAATGATGCCCACAAACTCCATAGAAAAGCTAATTTAGGAAAAAAAATTTGCAGTATTTATCTTGTTTTATAAAAAATAATTTATTAAATAATTGTCTGGATTTTATTAAGAAGTTTGGTGAAGTGAGAATGAGTATAAAAAGTGCTCGGATTTATTTAACAAAACCCCAATTGGGCTTTGTTCAATTTGTTGATGAGAAAGAAATCTACAAATGCAATTTTTTGTTAAATAAGTGTGTTAAATTGGTCCTCTGGTATGAAAACTAGTGATGGTTTAGAGGCAAAGCTCAATATTTTTAGCCACTCCTGTCCTGAGTCTAAGTATTATTGTTTTTTTAATAGAGCAGATCTAGGTTAGTCCAGATGACATAAAATTATTTCAATATTAACTAATTTTAAGCCAAATTTAGTATTGTGTTGTTACATTTGTGAAAGTCAACAAAACCAAAGTGTGTAAGTATCTTGAACAAAATTTAGTGTGGGACCCTACATCTGTATATCCCAAGCAAATAATTTACACAATTATTAAAAAAATTAAAGCAAACATTTTGAGTAACCATCTTTTGACCAGCCATCTGAATAAGCATTAACTATGAAGCATGTTGCTCACAGCGATTATAAACCATATAATCAAGATGTCTTGACTCCTTGCGCTCCCTTTCACCTCCCTGCCTTGGCCTTTTCTTGCCCTTTTCCTCACTCCTCTCTACTTGTATCTCCTTCACTTCATCTATGTGCCTCTCTCTCATTTCCACTCTGCTCCTTTGCTGCCCCCCCCCCCCACCCGAACCGTACACCCTCCCCTCTCACCCGTCCTCCCTGTCTTTTCTCTGACTCTCTATCAGGAGGAGAAGAGAGGCTCCCCAGAGGGACTGTGGTTCGTTCCTGCTGCCGCCTACACTGGCTTAATGAGGAGCCTGCGGGAAGGGGTGAGTGTCTCTGTGTATGTCTGCGTGTGCCTGTTTGTGTCTGTGCCTGGGTAGCTGTGACTAAGTCTCACTCTGCGTGAGCCTGTGCGTGTTTGTGTGTGGCAGGGGATCCCTGTGAACAGTAATGATGAGGCAGCTGTGGGGGCCTAAAGCGTTGTTTGCCAGCTGCAAGTCAAGGGCATGCAGAGCAGTCACACACATTCATGCATGCATGCACACTCTTACCTGCATCAAACACAACCCTTTACTGCTCTGCAGCCTGACCTCAGCAGCAATTAGGACCCTCCAGACACACACCTACAGTAGATGGAGCAACAGCACAAATGGAGGAGCCGATATCTGTTTGCTTTCTGCCGCTTTTCAATTTCATCCCTTTTTTTTATTTACTTCTACTTTATTGTTTGCTTTAGTCTGTCCCAGCATGGTAAAATAACATGACACTATTTGGTTTTACTGTATAAAAAAAAAAGAAAAATATTGCATATTTCTTCATCGTTTAATAAAAATCGTTAAATACTTTAAAAAATAGGTGGTTTGAGTGAGAGACTGTTAATGTTAAACCATAAATCCATTATTCAGTTTCATCTTTAAATGTTTCAGGTCATTGAAGGAAAAGTCAGACAATGATGTCTCTTTTGGCCACACCATGGCCTGATTAATGCTAAACTTGTCAGAAATGGCTTAATTAGAACTTGTTTGACAGTATGAAGTAGACTAAGGCTACATTCACACAGCAGGTCTTAAAGCTCAATTCAAATTTCTTTCTAAAGTTGTGTTATTTTGCTGTTGTCGCTCATGATAGCAGTGATATAAATCCGCAGTCAGACTTCTATGTGAACAGGTCATGACCTCTGGTGTGATGGGCCTTTTCAAATGCTACATTCAGATGGGCCACAGTTTTTGCTTAAAAAATGTATTTTGGACCAAAGTCTCTTTAATCCAAGAAAATAGTTCACTTATAAATCACCTTTCCCATGCAAAGGCATGGATCGGCAATCCTTGTACCAGGAGAGCAGACTGCTGCTTGTGGTGTAATGGTGTGGAGAGATTTTTAAGAGCATTGTTAAACTCCACATCCTACCTGAGTTTTGTTGCTGTTCATGTTTACCACATTAAGATTACCGTGTTCACATATTCTAATGTCTTGTCACAAGGCTTGAATCATCTCGAGTCGATTGAACTTGACACTTAGTTCAATGAACTCTGTCTTCCACAGTTACAGGGTCTTGATCCAACAGAGAACCTTTGTGCAGCTGTCAATTTGGACCAAAATCTCTTGAGGAATGTTTTTATCACCTTGTTGATTCAATTGGCATTGATAATTCAAGACAATCCGGAGGGTAAAAGTTGTTCTAACCTAATGCTAGCAGAGTGTGTCTAATAAATGGGCCAGTGAGTGTGTATTGTGCATAAAAATGATGTGGTGTAAGCGGTCAGCTTTTACTTATTTTATTAGAATTTTATGTTTGAGGCTAGATAAGCAGAGAAGTGGTATGTGCTAGCAGCAAGGAGAGCATTTGGGGAGAGAGAGAGTTAACTTATTTATCATTATTGAACAGTAAGATACGCTGATGGCCACATGTAGCCACAGGGACCCCGCCTCACCAGACTCAACCTTCCTCGATCTGTTTTCATCATTTACCCGCAATCTGCATCTGTTTATGCTGTTTCTCTAAACAAAATCTTTCATTTATATTAGAAAACTTTGAATGGTTCTTGGACAAGAGGCAAAGTTTTCTGTGTCACCAGTAAGTACAAAAACAAGTTTCAGTACTATTTATTTCTAAGATGTCTCTAGTTTTAAACAAGTTCTAAACCTGGGTTTGATTTGAAGTTTCAGAGAAACTTTCGTTTACTTGGTTCTTTTATTTATATGGTTATTTTTGGGTAACCGTAGACTATAGTACATCGAGATGACTAATTCTGTTTTATTATCTTCAAATTTCCTGGTTTTATGTGCCAAACTTAGTCTGGGCATATTTGCTTCCACCACAGAACATTTTGTATAAAGAACAGTGTTTTTGGACTGTCTGAAAACATAATGCACACAGATTCCCATGTCTTTGACTTCAAGAAACATTTTTTAAAAGTGGTGGCACTTTGAAATTAGCTTTTATTATTAAAAAAAAAAACTTGCAGGAGTAGTACAGATTTTCTAAGTCAAAAGGAGTCCATTATGGAGATTGACAGGTGAACTGTGACGCACCCCAATCAGATGATGGCACTAAACCAGAGCTAAACACAATAGATCAATATTTGTCTTTGTGTTGCACTTAGCCTCATAAGAATGTCCAGGTTTTGAAATTGCTGGTCAGCAGTGAGATTTTATATGTTGTGTTTAGCAGAATCTTCTTTTTTTTCTGTTTTCCTCCAGTGTTCGTTTTCCCCCAAGTGAACTAGCTTTAACCTGTGGTTCACACTCACGCAGAGAACTTTTAGGGTTACTAGGTATGATTGAGATTGATTGATAAGTGTTCCGGGTTATACTCTGTCTTAAGCCCCCTGTCAGTGGGAGCTGCTTCCTGTGTCCTGTAAGTCTCTGAAACCGATAGTTAGAGGATGATGGATATTGAATGTACTAAATCTCTGATCTGACTGACACAAAGAGGTGAACTTCCAAGCTGTCAAAACAAATCTACTGAATATCAGAACAACAGAAGAGAAAGAGTGGATGAAAACTGCAAGGATTTTTTTTGTCCACTGTTTATTTTGTGCATGGTCAAAAATATGTCACAACCAATAGCAGCATATTATGTTACTAATGCATTAGAATTAACCAAAGACCTAGTTCCTCTTCTCAAACTCTATGGATAAATGCCAATGTTGCCTTGTTTCATCCAATGAAGCATACATTTCTTAGGCAAATTTAACCTCATTACTGATTTACTGATTGATTAAAACTCTCAAAAGAATCAAGCTACTCTGGGAATGATTTAATGGATTCGCAATATTTACGATTTCCGATGAAGGGGACTGAAACAATAAATTTCAGTACTGATATAAAAAACTATATTTTTCCTGGAAAAATCAATGCCATCAACGTTGGAGATTCATCTCATTAATTCTTAGGACTTTATTGAAAGCTTGCAGCTTGTCAGCAGTGCAACGGCAAGTATCATTAGTTGCTTATCATTCATAATGTTATTGTTTTGTTGCAGCCAGTCCAGTGTTGAGGGAATATGTAAACTACCAGATACTCATCCACCGATTTAACAAATTGTCTGGGCAAAATTCTTCCTGGACAGAGAAGACAAGCTGTTTTTGCACTTCTTACTCTGACCTTTATTAGACATTTCAATGGATTTAGGCTGGCTTTCACTGCAGATTTTAACTTTTGTTATATTTCAATTACATCCGAAAAGTTCAAATTGAACTGTTAAAATTCATCATTATTTACACAGTGGCTATTGTGACTGATTGGTGTAGTTTGTTAAATGAAAAAGAAAAGTTTTTAATTTCTATTCAATTTTAGTTACCTTTCACTTAAGAACCGTGAATGATGAACATTTAAAAAGAAATGTAGTATTCAAACATGGTTAGTTTGCTTTTTACTGTAAATTAAACTAAAAGTTTGTGTTTATTTTCCGTTTGGTGAACTTCGTACTTCTAAATTTGTCGTAACACATTAAAATTTCCACCAGATCTATTATTCACGAACAAATCTGGTGCAACTTTAGCTTTTTCTCGCTCTATCAGTTGTGAAAAATGTCTTAGCTGCTTGAAATTACAACTGTGAGAATAGATTTGAGTGAATTAAATAATATTCCTCAAACACAAGATTGTAAAGTTCTGCTATGTCTGTCGTATAGTCTAAATTGAAATAGAATATTAGTAATCAAATATAGAATACAGATATGCTTTCTATCTTCAATCAATAGACAGAATGTTTGCAGTGCATTTAAATGAGTCTTTGTTGGATTTCAGATTTTAAAGTTTAAAACTATTTGTTGTTTACTTTTCAGCTGGTAAAGCTGGCTAAAGCTGCAGATGTGCTCTATTCTAAAGTAGCGTCATAAATGTCACTCGTAAAAATTTCTCAGAATTTTTACATAGCCTGAGAAAGTTTTTTTTTCTTAATTTCTCTCCTATTGTTACTCGCCTGTAATATTTTCTGATGCATTTCTTATGCAATTTTTGCCAGAGAAGAAAATTGTCTACTAATGTTCTAAATGCAAATTCAGTGCCACACTCTGTTAATTGCATGACAGCATTGAGACACTGTGCCAAGAACCTGTCAAATATGCTCCAGGCAGTGTGTTTTTGCTGCATTCTTTTGACCCAGTGGATAACCCCAGCCCCTTCTGCTGCTGTTGAGACTTTTTTTTTTTCACTGATTTCCAAGCAAAGCACTGCAGAGATGGATACAGATTGTTGTACTAGAGGACGGGTTTGACTGGGGAAGGAAGTAGCGGGGGCCTGCAGCCACAGGGAGCATGGTGGTTTTGCCAATGGAGAGGGGATACTGAAGAGTGACAGAAAGGAAGAAAGGAAGCCAGATCAGTGTAGTTGGAGAGGGGGATGATATGGCAGACAGACAGAGTGTGAAAGGGAGAGAGTTGTACTTAGAGGGGGAGTTGATGGCATGGAGTGAAAGGCAGGTTTCCAGGCCAGACTTGAGCTGCAGGAAATTATTTATGAGCCTGAACAAGATGATGCTTCAGCTGCCTATGATGAATAATCTGTGTGTGCGTGTATGTGTGCATGCGCTTGCAACAGAAAAGGTGTGTGAACAGTATTGCAGTGATAGAAGCCAGAGGGCACTAGGCAGAAATCCCCCCCTCACACACACACACGTGCGCGGACATTCACATACATACACACCCAGCTATGGTGAGCCCATTAATCATTTATCACTATCTTCCACAAAAGAGAGGAGAGAGGGTGACTCCTAAAACAGTCATGGGCCCTACCCTGGCGTCTCTAACATGAGATAGCCACCTCATGCTCCTGATCTATCAAAAGCTCACACACGTATTCTGAATAGAAACTATCCTGTGATA